CCGAGAAAGCAAGAACACGACCCAAGGGCCGAGAAGACGAGAAACGAGAAAAAGAACCAGGGCCCGAGAAAACGATACAAACACCCAGAAGCCGAGAAAACGAGACAATGAACCAGGGTCCGAGAACACGAGAAAACGGGAAAACAAACCAAAGTCCGAGCAAACGAGACCACGACGCAGGCCGAGAAAACGCGAATATCGGTCCTGCAAAACGAGGCCACGACCCAGGGGCCGAGAAAACGAGAAAACGATAAAAGGAATCAGGACCCGAGAAAACGAGACTACAAACCAAGGGCCGAGAAAACGAGGAAACGAGAAAACAAGCCAGCGTCCGAGAAAAAGAGACCACAGCCCAGGGGCCGAGAAAACAAGAACACGAGAACACTAACCAGGGTCAGAGACCACTGGACCACGACCCAGCCGCCGAGAAAACAATAAACGAGAACACGAACCAGGGTCAGAGAAAACGGACGACGACCCAGGGGCAGAGAACACGAAAAAAACGGGAAAACGAACCAGGGTCAGAGAAAACCAAAACCACGACTCAGGGGCAGAGAAAACGCGACAACGAACCAAGGCCCGAGAAAACGAGACCACGACCCAGGAGCCGAGAAAACGAGAAAACGAGAGAACGAAACGGGATCCGAGAAAACGAGACCACGACCAAGGGGCAGAGACAACGCGAAAACTATAAAACGAATCAGGGTCCGAGAAAACTGGACCACGACCCAGGAGCAGAAACACCATGACAACGAGAAACGAACCAGGGTCCGAGAAAACTGACCAGGGGACGGTAAAACAAGAAAACAGGACAACGAATCAGGGTCAGAGAAAACGAGACCACGACCCAGGGGCCGAGAAAACGAGAAAACAAGACAACGAACCAGGGGCCGAGAAAACGAAACAAACACCCAGGGGCAGAGAAAACGAGGGAACGAACCAGGGCCCGAGAAACCGAGACCACGACCCAGGGGCCGAGACAAGGAGAAAACGAGAAAACCAACCAGCGCCCGAGAAAACGAGACCACGACCCAGGGGCAGAGAAAACGAGAAAACGAGATAACGAACCAGGGTCAAAGAAAACAAAACCACAATCCAGGGACCGAGAAACGGAGAAACGAGAAACCGAACCAGGGTCCGAGAAAACGGGACCACGATCCAGGGGCCGAGAAAACAAACAACGAACCAGGGTCAGAGAAAACGAGACCACGACCCAGGTGCCGAGAACACGAGAAAACGAGAAAACGAACAAGGGTCCGAGGAACAATGGCACCACGACCCATGGGCCGAGAAAACAAGAACACGTGATCACGAACCAAGCCCGAAAGACCAACACAACAAAAAAACAAAAACCGAGAAAACGAGAAAACGAGAGAACGAACCGGGGCCCGAGAAAACGAGACCACGACCCAAGGGCACAGAAAACGCGAAAACGAACCAGGGTCAGAGAAAACACGACCACGACCCAGGGGCCGAGAAAACGAGAAAACGATAAAAGGAATCAGGGGCCGAGAAAACGAGACCACGACCCAGGGGCCGAGAAAACTAAAACTAGAAAACGAACAAGGCCCCGAGAAAACGAGACCACGATCCAGGGGCCGAGAAAACGAGAAAACGATAAAAGGAATCAGGGCCAAGAAAACGAGACCACGACCCAGGGGCCGAGAAAACGAGGAAACGAGAAAACATGCCAGCGTCCGAGAAAACGAGACCATGACCCAGGGGCCGAAGAAATGATAAAACGCGAAAGCGACCCATGACCCAAGGGCCGAGAAAACGAGAAAACGAGAAAACGAACCAGGGTCCGAGGAAACCACGACCCAAGGGCCGAGATCACCAGAAGACGCTTGGCTCGAGAAAACGAGACCACGACCCAGGAGCCGAGGAAACGAGAAAACGAGACCACGACCCAGGGGCCGAAAACACAAGAAAACGAGAAAACGAAGCAGGGGCCGAGAAAACGAGAAAACGATAAAATGAATCAGGACCCGAGAAAACGAGACTACGAACCAGGGGCCGAGAAAACAAAAAAACCAGACACCGAACCAATGGTCGACGTTATTCTCAAATGCGTTCTCTAGCGCTACGGTGCGCACCTGTCGTCAAGGATTCCGCCATTTTGCCAGAGCCCCGGAAAAGGGAGGGAGGGGGGGGGTAGCTTCGAAGCCCCCCCTTTAGCCAGGGCCCCCCTAGCTTAGAAACCCTCACAGAAGGGAGGGGGGGGTAGCTTCGGAAGCTCCCGCCCCCCTTTTGGAAAGGGGGGGGTAGCTTGAAGCTGGGGCCCCCCTTGCCGTATTCCCGGCGATGCGGGCGCGCTCTTTCATCTACACATATATATATAATACTAACAATGATAATAAAAACTCGGCTTAGAGCCAAGACGTGATCGCGTCGTGAAAAAATCAAGACGGGAGGTGTTTGGGCAACTTCGGCCCCTGGGGGCCCTCGCCGGGCCTCGGGACCGTCAAAAAACGACTCAGGATGAAAAACCAGCCCCGGGGAAAGGGTCGGGGCTTGTGGGGACGCCGTCCTGAAAAAAACAGGACGTCGCATGTCTGGGAGTGAAGGGGCCCAGGGACACACGAATCAAGAGACACAAATATTCAAGGATGCCCTCTATTTCCCCCATGTTCTCTGGGTGTTCGTCTTCCCTCCACTTCCCACACGTTCCTGTGATCGACGATTGATTGTGTCTGTGTCTATTCCCCTCCTGATAGAGGCGACCCGGAGGGGGTACAGACGTGCTCGCGTCCTTACAAAATCGGGGCGGGAACTCTTTAACTTTGGTCGTTCTGGGCATCTGGGGGCCCTTCTGCTGGGCCGCGGGCCGTCAACACAACGACTCAAGATGACAAAGCCAGTTCCAGGGGAAGGGCCGGAACTGATGGGTGGCCCCGTACTGAAAATGTCCAGACATCGCATGTGTGTAGTCGGAGGGTCGCGCCGATGCATCGCCGATGCATCAGCGACGCCGGCGTTGAGAAAGTCGGGCCCCACATCGAGATGCATCTCCGATGCATCGGCGATGCGGTGTGATGCATCGACCCCCACTCCTCGGAACATACTTTGGGAGAGTGTGTTCACACAGCAAAGAACGCGCTGACACTGAGAGCCGTGTGCCGTGTGCTGCAATGTTTGCACAACGCGCGTTTTCGCCCGATTGGGGGCCCCCGGACCGTCACAAATCGATCGGGCTTGAAAAGTGGCACAAGGAGATGGGGTCAAGGGCTCTGGCTGAGTTTGGCTTATGTGTTGCAATTTGTCGATGGCTTCGGATCTTCGGGAACGCGACAACGCCGGCTACTGGTCCTCAACCACGGCCCCCCTCCCGTCTTGGTAGCGTCGTGGATCGCGCCGGCGCCGTTCGGGACTGGCTCTAGGGGCAGCTGGTTCTAAAACGGCGCCAGCGCGAGTCGTGGCGTTGCAGCTCCCCCGTCCCCTCCGATTCGCCGGAGTACTATGTGTATATATTTCTGTAAAGTTATGTTACACCTGGCAAAAACCCAATAAGTGGATGACTTGAAAATTGATACTATGGATCTTGAGATCGATTGTGAGATCGATAATGAGATCGATAGTGTAATCGATAGTGAGGACGATTGTGAGGTCGATCATGAGACCGAGAGTAAAATCGATTCAATGAGATGATCGATAGTGAGATCGATCGCGAGATCTCTCATGCGATCTCTTGTGAGATCGCTTGTGAGATTGATAATGAGATCGATTGTGAGATCGATGGTGAGATCGATCGAGAAATCGGTAATGAGATCGATGGTGAGACCGATCGATAAGAAAATCGGCCAGGAACCCGGGAACCCAGGAACCTCGCCGCCCTCCGAAATCGGCCCGGAACCCGGAACTGGGAACCCGGGAACCCGGAACCGGGAACCCGGGAACCCGGGAACCCAGCCTGCCACCAAAATCGGCGGGGAACTTTCGCCAAATCCTTCAACATTCGCTAGGACCCCGTCATTGCAAGCACTGATTGGGGAACACGCGCAGACTTCAAGGGAAAATACTCAGGGAATCACACAACCAACTTGCAACAAGTGGCATCATCAACGGGAACACTTAACGAGGGTAGCGACCCCTTGTAAATGCTACACAAAGGGACTGTGCGTTGCACGCTCGTGGGACCTGCATTGTGCACCGCCGAAAGAAGTGGGCATGAAGGAAGCAGCAAGGTGGCCCTAGCAGGCTACAGTGGACCTCCCAGTGGCAGCCTTGGGAAGACAGAATGCCCGAAAAGGGCTCGGAATGGAGTGGCAAGATGACTACACCGACAGATATGGACCTCCCAGTGACGGCCCCAGGAGGACAGGATATCCCAAAAATGGCTTGAACGGATCTGCGCGGCATTGTGCAAACCCGTTCTGCGCTCTCCAACGCAGGGGCTGGAGCGGCAGATGATGGCCCTCGAAAACTACAAGGGGAGCCTCCGAGGGACGGCATGAGGTGAGGACAGAAGACCCCAGGCCCACAACTGGCTATAAACCGGGAGGCCCGACGAGGGAATCCACAAAGGCCAAGACGCGCCCAGAGGCTACGAGGCCAAGGCAGGGGGCGGCGGCGACTCGCTGTAGGTGTTAACGGTTTAGTGGTCATTCTATGTCCACTGTGCTGTAATGGCGCCCACGCTTCGTGCCTCCACTCGAGCCATTGCCCTCCAAACTCTGCCTCAGGCCTCCTTCCTTCGTCCACTGGTGGGGAAGCTGGGCGGAGCGGGATTCAGAGTAGGGCGAATTTGCCTCGAAGCTGCCACCCAGCCACTCGGCCGTCGTCGCATCGACGCGTCCCCGTGCCAGTGGCTGCAGCTACGTTGGCACTGACAAGCCAACACGGGCACTGCGACACTTCCGTGCAACGTGCGTGGCTCAGGATCCTCTTGACCTTCGCCGTTGCGACGCTACTCGGAAGCGTCTACACCTGCCGAAGGAGTGCAACAGAAAAGACCAGCCCCGTGCACATGCCATGCCCCGCTCCTGCTGACGGACCTAAACTCAAGCCCCACGGTCAGGTATGTCGCACGGTTCTAGCATGTCCTTGATCGGGTAATAGGCGTAGAACGAGGCGTCGCGGAAGAAGGGGCCTACGCTACAGAAGGTGCTATCCAAGTGCTTGCAGTCAAAAGCTTCGCTTATACCCCCTATGAACGCAGCATGGGGCAGCGGATATAAGCGAAGCGCGAAGTCGTAAGCCCAGAGGATGTTGCTCTCCTCCAGGGGGAGGGGCACCAGGTGCGCCTGGTCTGCCAGGAAGCGGATCATCTCCTCGCGCAAATACTGCGGCGATGGGGCGCCCCCGGTCTGAGGGTCCCGCAGCGGTAGCATCTCGTGCCGCCGGAGAAGCCGCAACACGTCATGGCGGAAGAACACCAATTCGCGACTGAAATGGCGCACCCGGCAGGGATTCGAAGCCATGATGACGTTCGGGATGTCCTTCGCGAGGTCCGACGTGTAGAAGTTCGTCAGCGGCATTCGGGGCAGAGTCTGTGCTCCTGGGTCTTGCGGACCAGGGATGAAGACGAAGCGCGTGCCATTCTGAACATGGTTGGGCAAAGACTTCATCATGAACTTCAATCTCTCAAAACCGTCCTTGTAAAGCCTGACGCCATCGGCGCTGGGCACGAAAGAGGAGGAGCAAAAGCTTCCCATAAAGATGTACGCCGCTGGCGGACTACTTTCCTCGTAGCCCTGAAAAACGTCACTCAATTTCTCGATGACTCTTGGATTGTCTAGATGCACCTCACAAAGGATTACAAACATGCCATCGTTTTCTGGAGAAGACTCGTGGGTGGCCAACAGATCGAGCTGCTCTTCCGAGATATCGCCTCCAAACCCCTGCCTTGGTATCAAGTCTTTTTCGAGGGATACAGCACGGGACACTGCGTCAGGAACCTGTAAGGACTGGATCCTAAACTTGTCTCCGACTACTTCCCCTTCCGCGAGCACGAATGACCCATCCGTCATGAGGTGATGAGTGGTATCGACCTCGAGCTCCACTGGGTACACCTTGTTAAGATCCTCAATCACCCAAGTACGACTCTTGTCGTCCTGAACCCGCGACATGAGGCCGAAGGTGAGCTTCCGGCCCGGGTTGCCCACCAGCGATTCCACTGGAGTCAGTACGCGCTGGTTGGGCATCACCCCAATCGCTGCCGCCTCCGCCTCGGTCACGAGCCTGTTTTCTAACAGCAGGCGCTGCAGCAGGATGAAGTAGCGGTCGGCGTAAATTTTTGACTTCACATCGCAGCCTGGGAACAGTTTCGGCCTCTTTGACGAGAGCACCCACGCCTTCGAGGAGCGGTCGTAGTCGCAAGGCTTCACGTCCTTGAGGACGTTGTACACGTAGGTGCCGTCGCCCAAATCTCCGACCTTCCACGGAGGGCAGAGGCGAGCAACACCACAAGCACCGACTCAGGCTGAGTGAAGAGACAAGAAGTCTGGCACGAGTGGCTGACTTCCAACATCCCCACCGCCGAGCTGGAAACAAGAAAAGGCGCAATGGCGGCGAGTGGTGGTGCCTGTGGCCGCGGTCTCTTCCGGCCCACTCAGCCTGTATGCTCTGTTTCACATCCGCCTCTTGGACGAGACCGCCGCCTGCGGACTCCTTGGAGGCCTCCAGCATGGTGCTGATGACGGCCCTCACTTGGTTCTGACCGAGCGTGTCTCCGATCATGGGCTCTGCTCGCGCGATCCGATCCGCGCATCAACTAGGCGACTGGGGACATCATCCCGATCCCGCAGACAGGCACACACAATGTTGTAAAGAGACTGGTCTGAACTCTGGGAGGGAGCGTGCCAACCAGGAAAAAACTTACGACCAATCGAAAATACGCTTACGCACTGGAACAGCACGAGCGCATCGCGCGCGTTTCGGCCCTGCATCCTTCCCCTCCCCCCCTCCTCCCTCCTCCTGCCTCATCCTCCCCTCTCCTCCTCCTAGTCCTCCTCCTCCTCCTTCCCCTCCTCATCATCATCATCGTCACAACCACCACCGCCACCACCATCACCACTACCGCCTCCACCATCACCACCACAGCCAACACCACCACCGCCACAACGACCATGATCATCATCATCATCAGCAGCATCATCATCATCACCATCATCATCATCACCATCACCATCACCATCACCATCATCATCATCATCATCATCATCGTCATCATCATCATCATCATCAACATCATCATCATCCGCAACAGCATCAGCATCAGCATCAGCATCATCATCATCATCAGCATCAGCAGCATCATCATCATTATCAGCTTCATCATCATCAGCAGCAGCATCATCATCAACCTCATTATCATCCTCCTCTTCATCCTCACCTCATCAGTCTGATCCTCCTCCTCCTCATCCTCATAATCCTCATGCTCATCCTCCTTATCATCATCCTCATCCACATCATCAGCATCATCGTCGTCATCATCATCAACGTCACCACCACCAGAACCACCACCACCACCACCATCAGCAGCAGCATCAGCATCAGCATCAACATCATCATCATCATCATCATCATCATCATCAGCATCAGCATCAGCATCAGCAGCATCATCACCATCACCATCACCATCACCATCAGCATCAGCAGCATCAGCATCAGCATCAGCATCAGCATCACATCAGCATCATCATCATCATCATCATCATCATCATCATCATCATCATCATCATCATCATCATCATCAGCATCATCATCATCATCATCATCATCATCATCATCATCATCATCATCATCATCATCATCATCATCATCATCATCATCATCGGCAGCATCGGCAACATCATCACCAGCATCTCCTTCTTCTCCCTCTTCCACCTCTTCCCCTGCGCAATCTCGCTGCATCTCCCCACTCCTCCCCCCCCCTCCTCCGGGTCCTCCCCACCACTGCCTCCCCCCCCCGCCCTCCGGAGGGCCAGTGGAGATAACAGCGGCTCTCCCGCCGGCCCAGGTCCGCTCGAGATCTGTCCCCGGATGCGGCCGTGGCGACGAGGAGCTCCCAGGAGGCCCAACAGGTACAGAAAACGCCGGGCGGGGCCGCCGTTGTCTCGGCTGGCGGCGCGCACAAGGGGGTGGGGGGAGGGGGGAGGGCTTCTTAGAAGGAGGCTGCTTCTTAGAAGGCGCCGGCCTTACATCTATAGAGAAGGCCCGCGCCTTCCAAGAAGCAGGGGTGCTTCTAAGAGAAGCCCCCCCCCTCCCCCCACCCCCCTCTGCGCGTGGCCGATCTCGACGGGCCCTCCTCCGACCCCTGGCTCCTCCAATCACGGAGCGCCCGACATGGGTACGGACAAGCATGGCTACGATGCCCAACGTCAAGTGTGGTCCAAAGCCGACAGCGGCGGCTGTTGCGCAGGCGGCCCTGCGCATCAGTTGGACAACATCCGTGGCGACGCCAACAGCGAATCCGGTCGTACCCGCTGGTTCTGTACCCGCTTCGATCGTACCGACCAGAACAGCTTTGGCTTGAGGCGCGGCGGTCCCCTCGGGGCCTCCCCCAAAAACTCAGCTAAAGGGTCAAGCCAAATGCTCAGGGTGGCTTAGAAGGGCACGCACGCTTTACCTTCGAGTCATGGCGCCTAGCCGAGTCTCTCTTGCTTCTTGCAGGAGGAGGCGTGCGCGCCTGGAGTGGAGATCCCGCGAACGAGTAAGAGAAACTTTTGACGCTCCGCGCGGATTCCTTGCGCCACGAATCGATATGCTTGTGCTGTGCTTTGTTCTTCTCTGGGAGAGCCTGGACCCAATCTGCTCTACCCGCCCTCCTACTTCATGTTTCTACCAGGGGTGCCCATCGGTCGGAAGAAGTAGGTAGACACATGAAGTAGGAAGGCGATGAAAATAGATTGGGCTCCGCCCCCCCCAAGGAGGATGGAAAAGGTGAAGCCACTCGATCATCGAAGCAGGCAGGCGCTTGGAGCAAATTGGAGCCCGAGAATCCGGAAACACCTGCCTTCAACGACCGACGGGGTATAGGTGGAATGCCGCGCCAGGCTTCGCGCGGTGCGCACCCGTTGCTGCCTCTCGTCGCCGCCGCGAACGCTGCAGGGCAACTGTGCCGCGGAGGGGCGGTGCGCGCCCAGGGGGGCGACCCTATTGGGGCCCTCCGCTCCCCCCGGGGGTTGGGCGCCGAGACCGCCCCGGGGGCCTCCTCCGCGGGTGCCTGCCGAGGCCCGCCGGGACTGCTCGGGGGGGCCTGTGGAGGCCATCCGGGGCTGCTCGGGGGGGCCTGGTGGAGGGCATCCGGGACTGCAGCCAGGGTGGATTGAAGAGGACACGCGAGAGGACACACGACTCTCCCAAGGGCCACATGGCCACATGAATGTGGAAGCATGGGTCGCGAGGCACAGGACACAAGCGTACCCCGAATTTGGCAGGGTCCACCTACTAATCAGCCTCGGCTGTACCTAGGGCCCTAGGGGGCTGTCTGAGCGCAGCCCGAAACCTTGCCAGTCGTTCCAGGCCTGCTTCGACAATGGCTCCACGGGGGGGGCTCGAGCACCCGTCTCCTGCCTCACTGGAGAAAGGCCTCATCTTGCTCCCCAGAAGCTCCCCCGCAAGCCATTCGAGTTACCCCTCTCTGGGGTCAGAGGTTGGTTCGACCACCCAGGCTGAGGTCAGCTTGAACACCGTGACTCTCAGACCACTTCTGGCGAAGCAGCAGGGCCAGCGTGGCTTGATGGGCCACATTTCCACCACCACTACCATAGGTAGGAGAGGGAGGAGGAGGAGGAGGAGGATGAGGAGGAGGAGGACCTACTCATCCTCCCTTCTCCCCTGTCCTATTTATGGCAGCGGTGGTGGAAAATTTGCCCACTATGGCTAGCGGGATCTCGAGGACTTTGAAGCGCGGCCGCACGCTGCGCGGGGCCGCCCAGGAGCCCGCGCATGGCGGGCGTCTGCGTGGCGCCCAGATCCGCCGGGGCGAGCGCGAGGTGGCGAAGCAGAGGCCCAGAAGTGCGAGGCCCTGTCTTTTTGCAGCACAGGGCCCCCAGAAGTTTGGGCGGGCGGCAAGGGGGGGTGACCCAAGTGGGGGGCGAAGAAAAGGGCCCCAAATGGGGCCCTTCAGGGCCCCTTTTGGGCACCACCTTGCTCCAAGAGGGGCCCTCAACGGTCCCTTGTGGAGCCTCCTTCTTCGCCCCCAATTGCCGCCCGCCCGAGAGGTCCCCGCCCTCCCCCGGGGCCGGCTCTTCCTCCTGAGCCCATGCTTGGGCGGCCCTGGGGCCCGGCCAAGGCTGCCGGAGGCCCAGGACGACCAAGAGAGCCTCCCGCCCCCGGGGCGCGAGCCTGCCCGGTGTGCGAGCCGTGGCGCGACCAGCGGCGTGCCGCGGCGCGCCCGCCCGCCACAGCACTCGTGCCCGAGTCCGCCTGGCAAGCGCTCGGCGGGCCGCCGCGGGCTTGGAGGCGCTGGGCGGGAGAAGCCCCTCTCTCGACACGAACGAAGTGGGTACGGTCAGGTCGGGCAATTCGTCAAAACAAGAATTCTACTGTCAGTGGGTACGGTCAGGTCAGTGGGTACGGTCCTACAGGCGAATTTTGGACTAAGAATTGCAACTCGTCAAAACAATGCTCAAAATGGTTGAGCATGGTGAGAACCTCGTCCCCAGACTATGCTTCACTGTTTTGTTGAATATTCCTCCTGTAGAGGAACATGCCCGACTTGAGGGTACGGAAAGAATGGGCACGATGCCCACACCAGTTCCTGTGCATCCTGACCAGGACTCGCAGTGTCCGCGCCGCCGCGGACGTTGTCCATCTGAGGCAGAAAGCCGCCTGCCCAACGGCGGCCGCCGCCGGTTTGCCCAACCACAAGTGTTGCCCCAGACCGACAGCGACCGACGCTGGGAACGCGGCCTTCTGCCTCAGATGGACAACGCCCGCGGCGGCGCGGACACAGCGAGTCCTGGTCAGGACGGACAGGAATTGGTGTGGCCATCGTACCCATCGGTCGGTAGAAGTAGGTGAAACCATGAAGTAGGAGGGCGTTGGAAGCAGACGGGGCTCCGTCCGCCCCAGGGAGGACGGACAAGGTGAGGCCACCCGATCACTGAAGCAGGAAGGAGCCTAAAGCAGATTGAAATCTGGGACTCCGAGAGCACCTATGCTCTCAACGACCGATGGGTACCCCTTCCGGGCGCCCAGGCCCCGTCGGCCTGCCGCGTGCGCGCTGCCCCGCCTCGTGCCGCCGCGCCCCCGCCGCGCGCTGGAGCGCCCCCCCTCCCTGGCTTAAGGAGCGGCCTTCCTGGGGGGCGCGGCCTCCCCAGGGGGCGCGGCCGTGGGCGTGCGGGGCGCCCCTCAGCGATCGGGGAGGGCACGGGAGGGCGGGGGGCAGTCTGGGGACGGACGGGCGGCGGCGGCGGCAGCCTCGCCGCCGACCTCGCAGGGGCGCATGGGGGGCTCGCCGAGGCGCGGCTGCGAGCGCGCGCGCGCGCGCGGCGGTGCCGACGCGCTTGCCGAGGCGCTGACCGACGGGCTCGTCAGGGCCAGGTTCGCGAAGTCGGATGCCTAGGGTTAGGTCGGGCATGCCCCCCTACAGGCCGATTTTGGACGAAAAATAAAAAATGCAGCAAATGTAAGCAAAGGCAATCAACAATGGTCGACAACTCGTCCCCACACAATTTGACTAAATACTTTTGAATA